AGAACTGACACTTTCCTGGTCAGAAATAATGTCTCCCTTTACTTAACAGCAGTGACCTTTCCTCATGTTCTCCCAACAGATACATCTGGCCTGGTCCGGTTTTGGAAAATTAAAAAACAAACAAACAAACAAACAAACCGCAATTTCTATACATTGAACACCCATCTCTTTCACCCATAGACACACAGTTCCCACACAAAACCGTGCAAAACTTTTCCTGGGGAGGGGGGGATGACGGAGGTTAATGGGTCTTTTTAAGTACAATTGTTCTTTCTCAAAATGTTGATTTGAAAATAAAATCGCGGTACTGTACATTACCACCCCGTCGTTGTTACATCACTACAACGAAACTCGTTTAAAAAAGACACTCTCGATACAGTGAAACTCCTTAAAAAACTGTTTTATTTTAAAATCAAGGGAGCCTTTCTCCTTAAAATGTGTTTATCTAAGCAACAATAACGACTTAAACAGCACCTACGATGCAGCCTGGAAGAGATCGTGTATCAGTATTTTTATTTCATCAAGAATAACGACGGCGATAATTACGAGCATTGAAACTGATTTATCAGTTAAATTCAATACTGTTTTCCAGTTTTAAACTAATCAGGACACATGCCAGCGTGTGGGTAAATTGAATCAATGATCCTCGACAGTGGTATGAAGTGTTAACATGTAAACTGCACAAACTCGGGCGAGGGTCAGGCGGATTTTGATCGGATTTGGGGAAATAGGACCAGTTTTTTTAACCGGTTTTATTTTATTTTTCTTAAATGTGAGACAAAAGCGACGCAGCCCTCCGCCGTCTGTCCCTGCCCTCGCTTTCAGCTCCATCTTGATTTTCAAAACTGTTGTTTCATCGGTCCGCCGCTCAGACCAATGTACCAGGGGAGCTTTTCAATTTTTATTGTTTTAAAACGCAACGTACCTATTTCTGTGTGGCACAATTAACTCGGGTTTTGGGAAACTTCTCGAACAGAGTGGCCTCCATACAGCCCATTCTAGTAGATGTCTAATGTTTTTTTAACTGTTTTTGTTTTAAAAATCAGCGTTATCACGTTCTTATTTTAATTAATTGTCGTATTCACGGGTGGTCCCTAACAGATCGAGATTTTATTGAGCCTCTCTCACGGAGTTTAAAGGTGAAGGGAAATCCTGAAACGTGAGAGAAAAGTTAACTATTGTTCCTACATACTTCCCTTTTACGATAAGATTTAACTGGTTATAAAACAGTACACTTCAACATGCTCCACGCCAAAAACACCGTGGCGATTTATTTCGTTTCAAAATGTTAAAATACAAGAACGGCCTCCATTTTGTGACATAGACGCCATTTTGTCTCTCTGTTTACTTCAGGGAATTTGGGGGAGGGGGTCGTTGATTTTTAGACAAGTAGGGGATCTTGTCTTGCCATATAAGCAGAAAAAAACATTAGACAGTTATAAATAATAAACCGATTATTTTGCCTTATCGTGTATATTGTAAAGTCCGCTATTCAACGGAAATCGGGGAACTATTTTCGAGTCGTGAGGCGGATGTAGATCCATGACGCTAGAAGTGCTGCAGCCGGTCGTGGCCTATAAAAGGGCGCTCCCAGAGCTCCGTAGCACTTTTTGTTTTGGAGAGGTGGTAGGTTTTGCGAGGTGTTTTGTCGGTTTGGGTCGGTTTTTTTTTCTGTTGCGGCGTCTTTAGTTTTTTTTAATTCGATGCGTTAGTGTAGATAAAAGTCGAATCATCTGAGCTCGTTTGTTTTATTTATTTTTTTTCTAGAGGGAACAGCGAGGTTTAAATAGGATTGAAGTTAGCGAAAAGGCCAGAAACGGGTGACCTTATTTAACTTGTTTTTTAGATTTTTTTTTCAAATAAGGCGACGTAGTTCGTGAACACGGTCGTAAGACGACTCGACACAACGCTCTCTCGGTATTTGGTAAGCCTCGAATCGCTTTTAGTCAATATTAACGTTTTACAGCTGACGTCTCGCCGCGTAGTCGCAGCGAAAACGTCTTAGCTATGTCTCATGCGACGAGCTACTGTAATTTCAAGCTCGTCTTTTCGGTGGAAAACATTGTAGCCTATAAAAATGGATGAGGAGGACCATAGTTTTGTGAAGAGGATTGGAGAGCTTGAAAAAAAAATAAAGACGTGGAAATTCAAGATGGCGCCGGGGTACCTCCCCGTCAGCAAACGGTCGCCGAAAACAAATCCTTAGAAGAGGAGAATTACTGAAGATTATTTAAGTTGTAGAGAAGAAAATAGGAAGAGGGAACTCTAAAGCGTAAACGAAGATCTCAAATCAATCGTAGCTCGATTGACTTAAGCTTGGCACGTTAGATTTAATTCGAAGAGAAAGAAGCGGTAGAAGGGAGGAAAACGAAGCTTTTTTTTAAAAAAAAAATAGAAGCTGAAGATTAGAAGGTTTTAGAAGAGAGAAGGGGAAAAAGTGGCCTCGATCGAAGATTTTAATTTAAAGGCGAGGCAGAAAAGGGCTCATTCAAGACCAGGTAGTCTGAAGCAAATGTCGCAGAAGAGTGAAAAGCCAGTTGAAGTTGAGCCTGAATTTGAACAGAAGTTGAGCCTTAAAATGAAGATAGCTCTTTTTTTTTCCTGTTCGAAGAAACGAAATTTCCAAAGCACGAAGTTTTAATTTTTTTTTTTTAAAGCCTGAAAGCGAGTGTCTAGCGGTGGGAGAGTCACGGTCCGGGGAAACGTGAGCGCAGCGAGGTAGTGACGTCAGCGGAAGGAGCGCAGGGGGGGGCTCGGTGGGCGGAGGGCACCGCCCGGTGGTAGCGCAGGGGAACTGCAGGTCGAAGATGCAGGCTTGTGTCATTCTAGCTAGAGGAATCTGAAGCCAGCAAGCTAAATTTAAACTCAGCTTGGAAGGAAATAGGAAGAGGCGATGGCCCCCTGTCATCAGGAAAGGCTTTCAAATGGACAGTGATGTGCTATTCAATAGCGAAGATGCAGAAGATTTTTCAAGAGGAGACAGGACTGAGTGTGTACCCTTTATGAATTGGGATGGACTTAGTTGGTAGCGGTTTGTATCTGAGGAGGAGGAGGAGCACCAGCGTCAGGAGGAGGTCATGGATCGCAGGAGCCAGGGGCAGGACGAAGAGGAAGGAAGCGAGTCGTGTAGCCGGGCGCGAGGACAGCGAGGGAGGGCGGCGGTAGCGGCAGGGTGGTGACGGCCGGCTGGTGGTCGACGCGGGTAGCGGGAGCGTCCGGTGTCCCAGCAGTCCGGGGGTCGGCGTGCGTAGCTGTGTGAGGGAGGTCCACTCGCTGGAAGAGCTAGGCCACAGAATCCGAGAATTAGTTTTTGTTTTTGTGTTTTTGTGTAGGTGTCACACGTGTTTTTTTTTTTTTTTTTTTTAATTATTTTCAAGCATTTACCACCATTTCAGCCACGCTCGGGATCTGGAACACACTTGCTCGCGTAGTTCTGTTTCTTTCTTTTCCAGGCGAGGTGTAATTTTGAGTTTCTTCAGCCCAGGCCCCAGTGTCGCGCCTCTCGCCTGATGTGGTCTTGTGGTTCCTGGTAGTTCTGCGGCTAATAATCGTAACGCCCCGGTCCGTGGGCTGCCCTGATTCGGAGGAGAGGACTCGTATCGGACTCCCCCCAGTGATGTAGCGAGCGGCCGGCTCGTCTTTGTGTGTGTGTGCGCTGTGCGACAGTTAACTCCCATAGGCCTCTGCAGTGTCGGATTGGAGAGTCTTCCTCCCCCTCCCCCTTCCTGCAGCAAAGCATAAAAGCTTCCATGGGCTGCCTTCTGAGCACGAAGGAAAGGTAACAACCCGAGGCGAAGGGAGTATCTTCTCTTCGGAGATCCTGTAAGCTCTCCGTGTTAATGAGGGAGTAACTATTCCCTTTTTGAAGATTATGCTGTTAAGGAGCCGGGGGCGATGTGGGCTTGGGGGTGGTGGGGAAAACCCAGGGTCTTGAGTTTCTTTCTCCACAGGTTCCCCCCTCTAAACTAGGCTCCAAAGAGAATTGATGGCTGAAGAGCTAAAAGGCAATTTGATCCTGGTCTGGCACGTCTGCACAGCTATTCGGTAGTGTGGCAATACTTGAGTTCTATCAGGCAGTGGCCAGTTCTCTGGATGTCTGCTCTTGTAGGCAAGTAGACTATCCTTTTAGCAGTGAATCGGGTTCCTGGAAGTTGGGTTGTAATTATTGGAAGCCCTCGGAGATTGTGATGTTAATATGAAGAGGGGTAGATGACGGCAGGGGTGGTGGTGGTGGGCGGGGGGGTAATCTTAATCTTTTCCCCAGCCTTTTTGCAGCTCTGTATGTAAAGCAGTGTAAAGCCCAGTGGATGCAATAATTTGGATGTCCCAAGCGCATGGTGGGCAAGGGAAGCAACTGAGGGACCCACAGCAGCAAATGACCAGCACAGTCCTGGTGACAGGCAGGCAGGAGCCCACTGGCGTCCTTGTAGAGAGAGGAGTGTGCGATTGTGATGGCCCTGGCACTTGATCGTGTTCAGTCTCTGGGAGTTTCGCGATTGTGAGTGAGGAGCTGTGCACCTGCATCGCCTCTGATCTGGGAGCTGTCCCGGGAGGGGTGGGGCGTCCTCTTACTGTAAAGACTCTTCCAGATGTTGGGTGGAAAAGGCAGCTTGAGGCACCTACAGGCACATCCGCCGTCACTTGGAGAGTGGTTGGATCTTCCATTACAGCTCTTAACACACAGGCATGTGCGTTTTATCATTTTACACGGGTAATCTGCTGTCTATTAACATTGTACTGTTTTGAGTAGCTTTTGGATACATTGTGGAGTGTAACTCAAGTTTGTGAAATGCAGCATTTGTATGTATTACTCCTTGGGAATGTGGAGGATGTGTGACTGCCACTAGCGTTAGTGGCATCAGTCTTGCAGCGTCTCACGATCTGGGGGTGGGATTGCAGTAATAAACAGGAAGTGGGGGGGGTGTGTGTTCTTGTTCTGCCTTTTTTTCATTCTGCAGTGCCCCAGATCGCTTAAATTCCTGATGCATCAGAAGCAGTCTCCACTAGCCCATGTAATGTCTCGCTTACACAATCCACATAGTAACGTCCACATACCAAAAATGTTCTCTGCAAAAGAAGGTATTCAAACTGATCTATTATCGAAGTCTTGTTCAATTGCATTTGTAGCTGTGCTGCTTTTTTTCCTGCACTTAGTGCTTGCAGCTGGTTTGCTAGTTCTGTACATCTTTAAAAAAAAACGCCTTGTAAACTTTGAAATGGAGGATTCTCCGTATTGAAATGTAAAGTCTTATTTTACCACGTAATCTTTAAAGAGTAATAAATACTGTTCTGAATGAGTTTTTATTTTGGTATGCATTGTTTTTTGGGGATGGGGCGGGGCCTTTTCTTCTGTTTCCACTTTTTCAGGATCTCTGTACTGCTTTCGGCTTTGTAACATAACGTTGGATGGGCTCGGTAGCAAGTCGAGGTGGAATGAGAGATAAGTGCTGGGATTTTTGCCTTGGAGAGTGATTTGGAGTAGAGCCCAGTGGGGGCGTCAGACGTGGGCGTGATCTGAAGATCAGTGGAGCTTAGAGCTCTGCTGTAGTTCTGTAAAGATCTGGGAATTCAGTGACTACTGGATATGGAAGCAGAGAGTCTTGGGATTGACGGTGGGGAGTTGTGCGGCAGTTTCTTCGGAAAATTGTATCTTGCAGTGTATGGAAAAGCCCAGCTTCTTCAGTTACAAAGGATTCCTGGAAAAGGCGAGGCCTTCACAGATAAGTCCCTTTCAGGAGTTTCCTGCCCGTTGTGCTTGAATCTAGGTAAATGAACGTCGGCGGGGCAGTGGGAAACGTGCTTTGGTAATGTCGTACACCTCTTGGGGTGGGGTATTGTTGTCTTGAGAATGTAGTAGCTGGAGGGGTGGGTGTTTCTCTTTGCATCTTTGCAGAAAAGTCGTTTCAGCTTCACGAAGACCAGACAATCCTCTCAAGTGTGGGGGAATCTCGGCTCTTGACCCCAGGAATCGGCCATCTTGTCTCTCTCCTAACCAGGCAGGCAAAGGATCTTGAGGTGGTAAAATGGGTAGTCTTGGTTTGGGGGGGACTGAACTCGGTTACTGTGCAGCTGTGCAAATGTGCAGCAGCGCCGTCGGTTGTGCAAATGTGCAACTGGAAATGCCCGGGTGAGGGTGGTTGCGCAACTGTGCAGCGCGCGCTGTGTGATCTGGAAGGGTAACCGAGGAAGCCGCACAACTGTGCAGCTTGTCCAAAACGCATTGCGGCCGCGCAACTGTGCGGCGCGTCTCGACGACATCGGTTGTGCAACTGCGCAGCTGCGGCTTTCTTGTCGAGGGTGGGGTTGTGTCCAGCCTGTTGTCTTTGCAGAGACCCATTTTGAATGAGCAACAAAAGTCCGAACGCAGCCCAGCAAAAAGGTTCCTCGTTCCTGGAGTGTTGAGTAAGGTCAGAACCTTAAAAGCCTTTGATTTTGGGATCCAAGGTCTAAATGCTGGAAAACTCCCAGTAAAAAAAAGAAATTGTGAACATCTTAATTTGAGGTGAGGATTTCAATTTCTTTAGAACACCTGTGGGGAAACTTGCACGCAGCTTAAACTGGCAACTGCATAAAACACTGGCTTGAAGCCTTCAGATGTGATGCTTTCCTACTTGTCTGTCCCATACGGTAGTGTTGGGTGGAATGTTGTGAGGGCATGTGGAAACTCTTCTTCCAGATTGGCTGTACCCACTTCTAGACTGCGATTGTGTGCAACTCGGGAGCTCTTGGCAAACTGAATGACCTGAATGGAGTCTCGTGGTGTGCCTGTGCTACAGACTGATCCCCCCTCAAGTCCCGTGTGAAGAGGCTTCTCCCTCCTGCTTTTGTGTGTGTGCGCCCCTCTCGTTTCTTCCGGTTTCAAACAGGTGAAGCGAATGCAATGTAGTGAACTTGGGGTCACGAATGTAAAACGGGCTTGGAAGAGGAGTGGAAGTTGCCCTGTTGAGATGGGTCTCGGGGGGTATGGGGGAAACCTTTTCCAGTCTTTCCCTTTCAGATGAACACCATGTGGCTAATAAGCAGCAGCTCCTCCCTGCAAGTTGCTTTGTTGGAAGTTAAGTAACCCTTTCAAGTTTTTCCACTTAACAACACTGATGAGCATGCAGCTTTTAATGCTTACAAAAAGAGCATTTGGTCTTTTTTTGAAGTAGATGTGATGTAAGTGAAGCTGTACTTTCTTTTAAGTTACTCTTGTAACTGGTTACATTTAGGCTCAGGCCTGGCACTGTTGTTAAGGGGGAGGGGGGGGTGGGCACAACAAATCTTGTTTCTTTCCAGATGTTCATCTTTAGTGTACACACACCTGCCCAGCAGTGAGGCACCAGTGAATCTGGCTCCGCCAGCGTAGAGGGGCCCGGCTCTTCTCTCCTGTTTCTCAGTCACTTTAACAGGTCAAACCTCCCCCCCGGATGGAAAATCTTGACTTACTGGCATAAGCGACTCCTAACTTGGAAAACGGCCACTGGAGCAGCACGTGCTTTTGGGGAGGGGTGTTCGGGTTGCTTTTCAGATGTTTACTCTTCAGTTCGATGACTTTTCCTGGCTCCTACTTAAGCTTGAGGACAAGGCTTTGGAGAGTAAGTTAATCCAACACCAAAACTGATATTACACAGACCTTTCAGAGCCTCAAATGCCCCTAGGGCTAGACCTGGGTGTACTACCTGGTCGAATGTCTTCCATTAAAATAGGGCATTTTAAGTAGTTTAGTAGGAATACATTAGAGCTAGTTTTGAGGCTCCAGAGTTAAGTGGGGATATCCTGCACACATAAGATAATTTCAGATTAGAAGTGCATTAAATAAACTCGACTTGGCAGTACAGTAAGCTGAGATCAAATCGGCGAAGCAGTTTTGAGGTTCTAATGGATGGGGTGGGGGGGCTATAAAGTGGTTCTTTAGTTTTTTTTCCCAACAGCTCTACGTTTTGAGAGGTCACCCAGCAACATACCAACCCTCTTAAAGTGTTTGACCAAGACGCACAGACCCGTGCAGCAACGGGTTCTCCTGGTAAACCATGCAGTTCGCTCTGGTGCGCACGCGCGTGCGGCGCTGATGTTCTCTGTGGGTGCTTGTTCTGTCTCTCTTTAAGAAAAAGAAACACGAAAACGGCGGTCGGAAGACCCGTTGGCCTCTCCAGTCGTAAGACAGTCCTTCGCTTTTTCGTTTCGATTTTTTCAAATACATTTCGGGGGTTCGGTGGGGAATGGGGGACGGCAACCCTTCTCTGTAGTTGTTGCAGGCTCCGTGCGAGGTACGCAGGGACCGTAGGCGAAGCAGCTTTATCCAAGGGTTTTTCTTTTCCTGGGGGAACAAGCTCTTGTTCCTCCAGGTTTTGCTTTTTCTCCTTTTAACGAACGCAAAAAAAGCAAAAGGCGCCGGTCGTGGGGCTCCCGGTCTCCGGGACGGGGTTCGACTCCCCGCGGTGTCTCTGCTGCGCCAAGACGCTTCAGCTCTCGGCCTGTTGGTCTCTGTGCCAGAGAGGGTCCTCCGGGCCGAGGGTCGTTCTCCCCCTTGTGTAAAGCTGCAGTGATCGAGTCTCAATGGAGGGTTTTTCTCTTTCCCTGGGGGAACAAAAACCCTGCGTCTCTGTTCCCCCAGGTTTTGCTTTTCTCCCTTTTGATTGGCTTTTTTTTTTTAAAAAGCAAAAGACTCCAGTGGTGGCACTCCTGGTCTCCAGGGTGGGGTCCGACTCCCTGAGGGGTCCTTGCTTTGAATGGGATGATCTGTATCCCGGTTTAAATTGAATTTCATAGGAGTAACGGTCCAATCCCAGCCTGTAT